CTGAGTTTCAAAATACTCATAGATCTGTGAGGAGTAAAGTACACATACCTTATGTATAAAACTAGGAACTTACAATAGCCAAAAAGTTAATTTAGGCTAAGTTAACTGAAACAGAAAAATACGTAAACCAAAATGCTTAAAACATTCTTGATATAAACTCACAGGTAAGATTCTGAACTTCTATGAAAACAAGAAGTCAGTGAAATGATGGGGATTTTTGCCGGTTGGCAGCTTAGCACCTTAAGAACCTGCTTGTGTCTCCTCCTCATCACCTTTGTATGTTATGAACTGAACTCTTTCTCAGTTTTACAGGTCTTTATCTGGTTCCTTATTTATCCACAATTACATATCTTGCAACTTTTGGCAAGGGTTTGACCAAACATACGTCTCTAGAGTTTACATTAACATAGTAACAGATTTAACATATACTTCCCAATTTCATTTGCCATATGCCTTAAATCAATAGCAAAATATAGGCAATCCCAACTGGAAACGTATTTCTCAAAACAGAGATTTTGAAAAGATGGCATGACCTCTGGACGAAAGGAGGAAAGAAAACTGGACACTCCGTTTAGAGCCACCATGCAGAATTAAAGTGTAAAAGCAGCTGTTTGGAAACTAGGGAAACAGGGAGATAAGTTCAGTGAAAGACAGACAACATCAGACCGCATTGTCAGATGGGAATATGGATTCCCATCTGGGCAGCTGCCCAGAGTCATACAGGCTGAGGACAAACCTGCAGGAAAGTGCACTGGGGGGATGTTATCAGCAGGGCTTACTGCTACTGGGCAACCTGGGAGAGCTTTCTGCCTTGGCAATCAGGCACAGCAGCCCAGCAGACAAAGGCACAGTCTCAGCCATTGTGCTATAACATCTTCGAAACACATCAGCAGAGGATGGAGACAGAAGGTGACCTCAGTGATTATTTGTAGCCTACACTGAGTGCCAAGGTTTTCCCAGCTGAACCGACAAAGCACTTTCGGTTTTATTGTTGACTTATATCTGCGGTACGGAAAACAATTATTTTATATCCTCCAGAAAATGAAGAACTGTATAGGTTAAATGCAAGAAGAATGGCCGGGAAAGCCACATTTCTTGGAGCTACTCATTCCTCTATGGATAAAATCATTTCAGAATTTAAGTGTGTGGGTTTTATCCAGCACATTGAAAGATAAGAAAGATGCTGGATAATGATTGAGCTGAGGCTAGACTCCAAAATATGATTGTGTGAATGACGGAAGCTATATAATGCAGAGATATTACATGATTTATAGGTTGTGAAAAGAGAAGGGGTTTTGTGGATTTAGTATATTTTGTATATTTAGCTCTGTGTACTAAAAGAAAGGATTTATTTAACAGGCTGGTTGGTATACTTTAAATGGATGGTATTGTGCCTTGAAAGTACTGTGCTGTTCTTGTCTACTTAAATATATTGAAACTATGATGTATACCTTGTTACTCCCACCCTAGAGAGATGTTTTAGAAGCCTTGTATGTCCATTCTGCATGCACAACTCTCAAGCAGATTTTGCTGTTTACTGCTAACAACCAATTGCCACATTTCTTCGCTAATAAGAGTAGCCACACTTCGTCATACCTAATAGGAATCAGAAGAAAAAAATCACATTCATAAGGAAAACTTAGCAGTGTCTTCAAATAACAGTACTTACCAAAAAGAATAATAATAGAAGACATATAAGATAGAGGTATAATGCAAAGAAAAGAGAAATATAATCCTGTTACAAAACAAGAATATTTTGTATCATTCTGGGCATTGATACTCTATGTCATAAACAGCTTAGGGAAAGACAGAGTCCTGAGTCAGTATTTCCCATGGGTTTTCTCTGCTGAAGTCCCTTAGAAATGTAATAAAAAAATTTCAGGGTGGCTTATACCCCTCCCTGGCATACGCTTCCATTTTTCCTTTTTTCTGCTTTTCCCTCTTTTCTTTTTTTTTTTCCTTTATTCTTTATGTCTGCTTTTAACTTCTCTCACTCTCTCATTCCTCTTCCTCCATCTCCCTTGTACAGCTATTTTCTTGCTGGCAATTTTCTTGTTCCCTTCCCCAATATACTTATTTTGTTACATATGCTCTCCTCTCCTGTGTTTTTTCAGAGATGTTGGCAATGTAGACAGTCCTGATAAAACTCGGGGCTGAACTGCTTATTGCTAGGAACAGAGTAGAAAAAAGCTAAAAAGAAGAGGAACAGCTGCCTGAAATCTGTCTTTCACCCCTCCATATAAGCTGCTTCTGCAGGAGTGTGCCCTGGGGCAAAGGCATGAGCAGGATTCACTGTGAGGGAGGGGAAGGATGTGAGAAGCCCACACATCCAGATTTAGATCTAGGGGCTTTTCACAGATCTAAATTGTGAACTACCCATGAGTGGGCTCCTAGTCGAAAGAGGCACTAGCTGCTGAGGTTGGGAATTTAGAGCATTTGGATCATTTTCCAGACACACCTCTCTCGAGGCTAATTATCTCACATTTTTCACCCAGAGACCAAGATCACTTGATGCACTGAGCTATTATCCAAGGATTTAGGGGATTGGATTGATAATTGCTCCATTTTGAATACCAGCTGCGATTCTTCCCAATTATGCTAAGAAATGTTAAGCCTTAAGAGAGCCTTAAAGAAACAAAACTCACCAAATTTGTAGGGGACTGTATAATTCAGAGGCTTTGACAGACACCAGTTGAATCTAGCTTTTGTATGGTGCAGCTCCCATGATCCAAGGTTAATCAGCCAGAACTCAGGCAGAGAATGAAGTAAGCCTTTAAAAAAACCCTACAAAGCAGAAATTACCAACCAACCAACTTTTCTTTCAACTCTTCAGCTCATCAATATTTCTGAGGCTTTAAGAGTTATCCTGCTTTGATAAATATGCAAAGCTATTAATAGACATCTCTATAAGGAATTTCTTTGGACTGATTCAATTTCTTAATCCAATAGATTTACAAGAGTATTCAGAAGAGCAGGTATAGCTTGATCAATCTAAGACTTGTATTTTTTAAAATGATGCAAAGTGGAAAAGTAGACAAACATTTGTCCATTGAGGTAAATAAACAGCAGAAAAAAAAAATCAGTTCATATTTCATTGTTTTTTGAGGTCTTTGGAGAAGCCATCCCTACATCCAGAGCCAAGCAATGCAAATATGAATGTGTATTTATGCAGGCAGTTGCTGATGTCAAAAACCATCAGTGTCCTCAAAGTGGACCTCAGACCAGAGCATATTGCATCACTATCCACTGGCTGTTGACAGCTCTGGTGACATGATATAGCAATAGATAAAGAAAAATATTCAGTACATGATCTACCTCTTTGCAGTAAAATGGTTAAGTTTTGTGCATTTGCATATTTTTCATGTGGTAATTTGATTGGAAATTAATAGGATTATTTTTGACTGGCTGTGGTTAATGCCATTGCTTGTTTGGCTTTTATAAAAATCTCCATAATTTAGGAATATTTATTTAAGTCACCATAAAAGTATAGAAATTGATGTAATAGAAATTGATAGTAAAATTACAGACAGCTGGGTACAGGATGAAATGAAACAAATTTACCCAAACCCATTATCTTAGGAAAACATAAATGCCAAATTAAGCATCTTAGGCTAACAGTTTAAATGATCCAATTTAACACTAATAAAGGTACTTTAGACCCAAGTCCTGTTTGATTTATACTGTATGAGCATGCAGAGGAAAACATCTGCTGACAGCCCGGGCCAAACACAGATACCACAGGGAAAAGCAGCTTGGACCACTGCACCTTTCCATACCCATTTCACATATTCTTAACAGTTCTTGATGAAAACTTCATGGGAGTAAATTACCAAGGCACAACTGGTTTTATTTTGTCCTGGAAAATTGTTGAGGGACAACATTTATAATGGATAAGCATACATAAGGACAACTTTTTTTAATTTTTTTTAGGCTTTGTTGAACAAAGAAGCAGCACTGAGACATTACATAACCCTGAAAGATTTTGGTTTCAGATGATGATGGCTATGGCAAACGTGGGCCCTACTACCATCCACAAGGCAATGCACAAGCAGCAGTAGACTAGACTTCATGATTTCTTTCAACAGACCATTTGGTGTCTGAGATGCTGAAACTAGAAACATGAGAGCAGGGAAGGGGACACTGGAAAAGGTAACTTAGTCTGAATAGCATTAAAATTGAGTAAAGGTGGCAGTTCATCTGCATTAGGAAAGACAGCATTAGGCACACATTCCTCCCTCCTTCTTTCAGGTGGTGGCCATGGGCAGGGGAGCAGCTGTACTGCTGGGCTGTGCATGACCCCTGCGAGGTGCATCCAGTGCATCATTCCTCTCCCAAAGAATTCACCCCAGGAGGAATAACTCTTTTACACAGCAAACAATTCAACCTGATATTTTATTTATTTATGTCTGTAAGCCAATGTAAGACCTAGCACTTACAGTTGGAGACTCCTTGAGACAAGGATCAAGTCTGTTTTCTATTTCTCATTGCCTCTTTGGCCACAAAGAAAATTTAACTACAGAAAATCAATACAGATTTTAAAAAATCTTACTAATAAGAAGATGATACATGGTTTTTCTTGTCTATGACTATTTTGATTGTCATTGTCTCATGGCTAGTATTGGCCTAATAAGTTTTAATATTTCTAATTGGTTTCTGTTATGCGTGGAAAGCTAGAGGTTATTTTAGCTTACATGTTTGTATAATTGCCTCATGTTCACATCTCTGTATGAAAGTGATGATTCAGAAAATTTTTCTTCATATCAAAGGTATTATTTAGAAGTAGATTTCATAAAAAAATGCGTCTTTTTTTGTCCCTCAGTTTTCTTTGGATATTGGCTAATGCAGTAAATGTAACGTGTATATGTTTTACACAGTGATGCCACTTTGTGAGTTTTATTTAATGGTTGTTGCAGAATATGTTTCTTCGAGTCATATAAATCTTCCATTCCCACAAGCAGAACCAAAGAAAAGGAAGAAATTTTGTTTCGAGGTTTGGAAGCTTTGTTTCACAAATTTACAATATGTGGTTAGGAAACTAAAGACAAAGAAATAAGAACAAAATTGTTATATGGCAGACATCAAAAGATTTCAACAATTGTTCTGAAAAGCAAAGTAACTGAATATGGCTGTAACCCATAAAGAATGATGACGCTGTGACTTTCACACAAGGCACAGTTCCCAACGATCCTTGACTCTTCTTGCCATATGTAAACATTTTATACCTTTTTCCCTGTATTCATGAGGTTTGAGGACTTTCCTGACAAGTGTCAAGCTAGAAGGGCATATCCTTCTCTTCCTGTGGGAATTCAGGCAGTGGGGAGAAGAAAGATTAAGCCAGGAGAGTTCACATCAGGAAGGGATATACTCATTAAGTGCAAATAAACAGGAGATAGAAAAAGCCCCCCTTGACCAGATGAAAGGATAATGGAAAGAACAGATACTTAAGTGCAAAGCCGGGAATGACGTGGGGCACCTATGTTTGCTTTAAACTGAAAGGTGTGCTTCAGCTGGTCACCACAGGACCAGACTAGAACTTGCCCAAAGCAAGATCTTCTAAAACATGTAGTGTCTGGATGTCATCCAGCAGCTGTATACCAACTGCTGTCCTTTACAGATTTGGTCCTTTGAGCTGTACTCATTTGCTAATGTCAGAATAGTCTATGAGACCAGGACTTCTTGGGATACAGGCCTGGGAAAAGACCAAAAGTCTGCAGGCTGGAACTTAGCTGACTAAGATACCTGGAAGGGTAATGCCTGGTGAAGCATCAAAATAACTACACGGAGGCTTGATCCGTCTTCAGTCAGGGGAAATAAATAAGATATGCTAGAGGAACTAGAGTGAAAGGAACGAGTTGATGACCTGGCAGAAAGGGGAAGAGGGAACTGGAGGGGAAGGGTGAAACTAAAGAGGACTCACAGACATCATAGTTTGAAACTGTGCATATGCTTTATGTCATAACAAGAGTTTTGTCAAACATTTGCTTTGATGGGAAAGCAAGATAATGTCTCTCCAAAAGCTCTTGACCTGTAATGAGATTTGTTTAAAGTGTTTTTGAAATAATGCTGAAAATGCTTTAAGTTTCACTGCTACCAAATTAAAGCTTAGAGAGTTAGATTCACAGCCTATTAAAATTCTGTTTAGCATGCACATATTAACACAGATGTTTCAATAAAAGGGTTTTCCATGTAATTATCTAATGACTTGCTATGTCAGTCATGGTAAGTCCCAGGTTTGTAACTTGCTCCTGAGAATTAAACAGAAAATAAATATACCAGTTCTAACCTGCTGTCCTTCCCATTTGAGCTGAAAGCAGTAAATGGTCTCATGGATGTGTCTGATTTGATTTTCATTGCTGAGAAAGTAAATCCTATGAGAGACAAAACTAGGCAAAAAGATGTGCTATTTTATTTTCATTCAGTCAATTTTATACCATGTTGGATGAGAATAGACTGCCATATTTTCAATTTAACTGCATTCCTCAGTTTCTCCACTCCCAAATATTTTCATCCAAAGAGATAAAAATGGTTACAGATCTGCAGAATTGGGCATTTCATGCCTGAACATTACTTGACTGAGCAACAGGATAATGGGATACTTCCCCCATGTCAAATCTCAGTATGAACAAATTCTCCCAAGGAAACCAAGACGCTTATAAGAATCAGCTGAGAAGAAATAAAGCAAGTCAGGTAGCACCCAACCAGAGACACACAAGAAGAGCAAACAGCAGTGTTTGAGAAACATAGCTTAACCAAGAGACAAGCTAAAGTTTCAGGAAGCTGCATTGGAATAAACTGAGACTGAAGAGTAGATTCTTCTGTCTTCAGCACCCAGTAACGTGCACGAGATGTTGAAGAGCTACTTTGGCCATCACCTTCACTTGTGATGCCAGGATAACCCTAAACTCAGGCCATGATCTCCTGCAAAAAGGCAGAGCTCACCCTGTCTGGCCCAGGCAGACTGTGACTGTATTCCAGACTATAGAGCTATGCTGCTAGCTGGTTAACTGATGGGCAGAGAAGGGGGATTTGGCGTACATCAGGACCACAAGGAGTAATACCCCTGTGGTTTACTGTTTTATGACAGCTCCATCTGTCACATCCCATCAATCTATTATTGCCTAGAGGTGCCAATGCAACTAAGGCAGCAAAGAAGTATGGCCTGTTTCCTACATAAGTCTGCTTCCCCCATCATCTCTATTACTGCTGGTGGTAGCACAAAGGCTCTTTCCTCACAGTGAGAAAAGATTTCTGTAAGTAATCAAGGTATTTTCTGAAAAGTTTGTAAAAATCAAGAGTTCCGCCTACAAGAGTAATTGAATTCTTTCACTATTCCCATAACCAATCCTTACAGACTCCCAAATAGGCAGATTTATAGCAAAGACTGGAAAACAAGTTACACATACAGATTTCTGTTCAAAACTTTATTCATGTACTTTCATGACAGCAATCAGGGACTCATTTTCACTCCCTCCCCTTTTGCTATACAGATATGGCTCTGTACCTCAGAGTCATTGCTATTGTTATTTGAGACCTTGCACAATTCTCAGCTGCATGCCTAGGGCAAGTTTAGAAATAAAAGCTGCTGGTTTTCTGAACAGCAGTCAGTGAGGCTTTCCTCCTCCAAGGGGGAGGATTCCTCATGGTAGACCCTCACGGCAGGATGTCTGGAAATGTCTCTGTTTAAGTTGAAACCCAGGCTTAATTACTATTGTGTTGCAATACTGAAACATACATATAAAACCAAAGAACAGATGAAGTATTTTAACAAACAGAATATTAAGTGGAAACTTACTAAAAATATGAAGGTAATATTTATGTGATGCATCATCCAAAAATTGTATGAATACTGTGCCAACAGAACCTTAGCAAAATTGAGGAAGAAAAAAACCCAACAAAACCCCACAAAAACAAACAAACAAAAAAAAAACCACAAAAAAAACCTCAATTATTTGCATTTCCTTACCAAATATTTTACAGTTATCAGGATGACAAGCACATTAAAAGAAGAGCTCATTGTCATTGTGCTGTTGCAATAGTCACACTAATAAGGCTGTCCATCGTTTCAAAGAGCTGCTTCTTTAAAGGAAGCTACAGTAAATTGTTTAGGGAATTCACCATTCAGTAGTTCCCTCAAGTGCTGCATCCATCTTTCACCGATTAATAATGAAACATTAATGAAAATGTTTCTATGTCTCCATGCGCCCACCGATTGAATGTGGTGCAGAAAAAATACAGCCCTTGGAAATTGTTATTTGTCTCACTTGTCAGACAAGCAGTAGAGAGAGTAATTCTTTACTGGGAATATTGGTAAAACAAGACCTTCATTTAGGGGATTCAGACTGCTAAGGATGATTCTCAAACTGACATTTAAGAATAACTGATTCTCAAATACCACATTAGCAATCAAGAAATCAAGAAACATAATTAGCTCAGCATGCTCTGCTTGAAACTACTACTGTAGCTATCAGCTGCACCAAATGCCAGAAGATGAGAAATGGAGAATTTGTTTTTCATTGAAATAAATTATATTTTACTTTATTAAAGGCATGAGAGCTTGAAACATTAATATTTCTGAGAAACTGCTGGAGCTAGCTTAGATCAGGGTGGATTTTTCTCCATTATCCAAGCAAATTCTGGGAAAGCAATCTGTCTTTTGTTTTGCTTGGTCTGTACTAAACTCATTGCCATGACATCATGCAAGACAACCCGGCAGAGTGTATCGTAGGTTATTAATATGTTTTCATTTCATTTATGTACAGAAGCTACTGAGATCATGGTTTATATGTAATTGCATAATGCATTATCTGAATTGACCTTCTTATTCCAGAATTAAGTGCCGGGATGTCAAGCAAACAGACCATGAAAGCCAGTACTTCTGGACACAGATGGTAAAGCTTATGTGTAGCGAGAGAGGAGTAATTGGATGCAAGGTAGTAAACATTTACTCAAATCCAGTCAACGTTGGTAGTGCTTTAATTTAGCAGCTGCTTTGAAACTTATTTGAGTATACAGTGGTCTCAGATCGCTGCAGAGTTGAAAGCTGCCACCCTTCCTCAATTTCTTAGCAAAGAAGATATGGATTAAATCCTAAATGTGTTTGGGAATTGAATGATACTATATACTCGAAACTGATTGCTTCAGTATATAATGTAGGACAACAATTAGCTTCTACTGTACCTCTTCTACGAGTGAAAAGGGGCCTTAAATTCTTAACTGTCTACCACTTCAGCACTTTCCACAAGTATCTTTATCTGTATTTGAATTTGTAGAGAGAGATTAAGCATGAAATCACACTTCCTTAATTTGCTCAGTGCCAACACCACACTTTTCCCAGTACAAAATAAAAGGAAGTGACACCTTTCATGACCTTGGACCTCCCCATCTCTAAAGGCTCTCTCCCTGCAAAATCAAAATGTTCCGTTACCCTGGGGAAGCAAGTCACTGATCTGTTGCTGATAAAGCCTTACCTCAGCCGACGGGCACTAAAAGCCACTGGTAGTGTGAGAAGTCTGTTGATTGATAAAGAATTCACAGGACTAGAGACTGACAAGTTTTCTAGAATAGGCAAGAAGAAATTTGAAATGTGCTGGATTGGAGAAGAGCAACGTAAAAAGTAAATGTGTGTTTCATGAGGAGGAGGAGAGCAGGGAGAGGAGTTACAGGGTCATGATGCTCTTAGACTGTGAGCCAGTATTCCTAGGTTCCATGGTCAGATAAACAGCAGTGTATTAATTTTAAAATGCTGCTCTGAAATGTCACCTTCATCTCCATTGATCTCTATTACCAAACAAGTACTTCAGTCACTTGTGACAAAAGGCATTAGTCAATAAAAAGCTCCAAATAAACTTGAAGAAGACAAACAAACTCTTCTCCCTTAGCTGCACACAACAACAATATAAAAAAAGCATGAAAAAGTAGGGCACTGAAAAAAAGCTTCTAAGACTGAAAGTAAAAATTTAAATATTCTATTCTACACCTTTCAGAATTATAAAAAATATTGTGGGTATGGGTGGGTTTTTTTGTCCTCTAGAGGGGATGTTTTTGTCTGGATGAGGAAATAGCCCAGTAAAACATTTTAAGCATGTTTACTTTGATCCTGACATTAAACTGGGGTAACTGGTACCTACAAATCTACTGCAAAGCTGAAATTTAACCAAGATGTTCCAAGGCTTAAATTACATTTGAACCACTGAACCATCTTCGATGAAACACTGAGAAAGAATTGGTAGCTGGGAGACAGCAACCATACAGACTACTTCAGCAGCCTTTCAGACCCCACAGCCTCTATCGCTTCTTATGGAAATGTTCAAACACAATATGCCCTGGCATCTCTCCGGCTGCATGACCAACTATTCACCTAGGATGTAACCAGAGTTATGCATTCCTCTGTATACTTACAGGCATGCTCTGGATGACATTTTACAACAGGCAGGTCTCAGGCGTATGCCTCAAATTGTATGTGCTCTGGCATTTCAAATCCAGGCATGCATTCATGTTTTGTACAACAAATAAAACTTGTATTTTGGGTGAGGCCACGTCAAAGACTTGCTCACAGATCACACCCTGGAGCTCTGAGCTTGGGAAATGTATCACTAATGTGATCACAGCTGATGATGATTGGTGGAAGAGGGTATTGTTTATATTTACCCCATGGCTGTTTGGCAAGGTTAGTGCTCACTTTTCCATCCCAGTAGTCTATTGTGATATTTGTTCTTTGAGCAACAGACTTTGTGTTCATGCTTGAGATAGATACATAGTGCTGTTACATGTACATAGTGTTCATTCCAAAAAACCTGTTAGCAAAACCAAAGTGAGTCAGTCGTAGTGTGCAAGCACTTTTCACCATTTGCCTGCAGTCAGCCTCTCCCAGACTGTTTCTCTGGGTGTGTTACCTGTGGACAACTACCTCCCTGCCTTTTTGCAGACCACAACACCATTGTGGAGGCATATAAAGTGAAAAACTTGGTTGCAGGAATTCCTATGATCAGTTTGGAAAGGTACAACCACACAGGAAAAAGAGCAGTTTTGAAGGCATTCTTGTCATCACTTAATATCCATGTGATGAGCGAGAGCTGTAGCACTGCTGCAACTGCTAACATATCCATGAACTGCCATCGCATCTGTTTGTCAGAGCTTGGGTATTTCAGAAGCTGTCACCAAAGAGCACCCTTCAGGGAAGTGATGTTTTTCTGTTCTTTCCTTAAATCTTAAACTGAAAGCAAACAATGGCTGTAAATCCTCCTGATGGTTGCCCAGTCAGAGGGGCATCTCCATAGCAGTGTAGGCTGAGGCACAGTCTGAAGCAATCCTTTCTGCAACACAGCTCAAGACTGCTTTTCTATAATGACCGACA